CAGGAGCCGATCTCAGGGGCGTTCGTGTTGTGAGTGACTTTGTTCCACTCCATCGCACTTGGCCTCCTCTCTAACCGCTGTCTCAGTGCCGATGCATACTACTACTACTGATAATAATAATAATAATAATAATAATAATATAGCCTAATATTACTTGTCTTTTTTACTATTTATTAATTTCTTTTTCTAATATCCTATTGTGGCACTATTGTTGAGGTGTTTTTCATCCCTAGCTAAAGTGTAAAATGATGATAACCTTGGCTTGGCCCATAGTTAGACCGAGGCGCAAGAATAAGCTGGTTTTGACATACTTCATTGGTTATACGGTCGAACCTGTCTAAGGTGACCACTCAAGGGACCGATATAAAGTGGTCGCAATGAACGGATTTATGCACAGGGACATTGTTCATAGGAGAAAATGTTGGGGATGTTTTTGACTGGTCGCCATAGACAGGTGGTCGCCATAGCCGGTTAGACTGTGGTAAACACGCTGAGAAAGTTCTTGCTTTCTCCAACGTGTCCTAAGTGTCACAGTATATTGATTTTGAGATAAAATGGTTTGGTGTCCTATCTTCAGCACTAAGTATGTAGCTCATCTACAATTTTCGAGAAGTGTTTTAAAGTTGTCGAAAACCAGCTTCAGACTCATCTATTTCCATGGTCTTATCGAGTGTAAGGATTTGACCAGTACGTTTTCTGTCATGGACGAAATCATTGCAGTTTTTCTCAATGGCACTCTCTGGACTATCAGCGGAGCATTTAACTGTGACGCCTATGTGCGCCTTGAAAACGGTGGCAATGGTGCAAGTATGGTTAAGATCCTTAAACAATATATCTCTGCTCTTTTTAAGGTGACGATAGGTGACAAAAATCGAGAATGCGAGGGTACTTCTAGCGCACCGTACTGCTAGAGGGAAGCTACACCAAACTTAAAGGAAAAATCGTCATTTTTCATCGCGTAGATCATCGTAATCGATCGGATTGTTTAACCGTTTATATCCTAGCATATAGGTCGACCCGTTTCAGTATAGCCGCTCCTCATTGCTTTTGGCTCCGTTAAGTTCAGAATACCACACTCCTACTGGTGACGCATCCTCTATAGTTTAACCAATGTGTTTGACCAGTGCTGAGCTTTGTACCTTAGTCCTGATTGTCACACTTCATTCATAGAAACCTCGAAGCTACCGGTTTGGATTTAACATTGGAGACACTGCTTCAGCAGCCCTGACAAGGCTAGTGCTCATACAATCTTCCGCGAGATGCTGAGCCCTGCATAGCCGGGATCCAGACAGCGCTATAGGCAAATGACTTGCGGCGATAGCCGAGTTCCGATCTCATGATTTTCCACCTTTAAGTTTTGCTATACATTGCCGCTGTCGACCGCCCTTTGTTTCACGCGGTGACAGGCGATGTCCAACATGTGGGGTTAGGCGTAGAACGATGTCGGGTGTGGTCACGCATGATACGACAATCAGGCGGCTGACGGAACAGTCCGAATGCACTAAGAATGCCGGATGGTTGCACTGGCTCAGACGTGCAATGCGGCAGCATGACAGATCACATGATCAGGTGTGATATGATCGAGCTGTGCTGTGGAACAGTCGCACAATGCGGCCTGACTGTATGTCGCACGAAACGCAGTACTGGCGGATCAGGTTTAGGCAATGATGTTCGTTACATTGGCTGTCTGATATAATGAGGTAAAACGTTCTGTCAAAGCCTCAGGCTTGTGCTCAAGCTTTAAAGATGAAGTTTATAAACTCACCGCAGCCGTGTTAGGATTAACTTAGGATCACGTTGTGTGGATGGAATGCGACAGGTGTGCTCAGTTAGGACCGTGATTTATTTTGGAATGGACTTCGGTCACTTGAACCGTAACTGAACCTGATAAATATTAGGTGGGGATCAACCCTAATCCCCGCAGTCCACGATCGGTTTCGAGCTCGTTCGCACTTGAACTCCGAACGTAAAGTTTGCCGGCTGACGACCTTATTCCTATGACATTGCGGGGAACACTTGCCACAACATTTGGAACACACTGTTGGAGTGCAGATTTGATCCGAGTGATCGAATGGAACGACCTGCATTTCCAAGTGAATTACGGTCCAACTTGAAGTTGCTTATCACATTTGGTTCATACAGCAAGTGCCTCAAACAAGTCAGCAGCAAATCATTAACCGTTGCGAACACCAGAGCTTGGTGGTGTAGCGTTGAAGGCGTTATTGTTCCACTTTCTAATGGTACCTTTGTTGTCTATGCCTACTGTACACAAGCGAGCACAAAATCAGTCACGGGGTTGGAAGTGGCCAACATGGAACTATGTAGCTTGTTGCAGTCTCACGGCAACCGTAATTTCCAAGCCTATGTTGTTAGTTGGGATCAACTAGCCTCATCCTTTCGATAAAAAACAAACAATTCTCCAACCGGTGAGTTTTGTCTGAGGTCCAAGTCGAGCAACTGGTACACGGACCGAAGCACTTGCAAATATTGGGTCAATGATTCTTTGCTACTTTAAAACAGGCGGGCTACTTGTTCTAAGGGTGTAATCTTACTTCTCTCCTCTCGGGTTCCATAGTTGCTGAGATTGGTGTTTTATTCTCTGTCCAGTGATTGCTTGAAAAAACCGGAGAGTATTTTGATACGCATCCGTCGCCCTCATGTTTATGTATGTATATAAGCTAGGTCATTTTAAGCTGGATAAATTTCATTCCATTTTAATTGGTTTGTTCTGCCCACTTGAATAATCTTCTGTTAACTTGCACACGTTGCTTATGCTAATTGCGCTTATCTCCGTTAACTTTATTGTGTTTGTAGCATTTTAAAGTAACTTCTAGACGTTTTGTACTTATCGCGGATTCATTGTTAACCAATTTACTTCATATGCTAATTTAGCGAAGAGTTATGTCTGCATACCCATATGCTTTAACATATATACTTTATTTGATCATGTTAGTTCAAGTGATTGGCTGTTGCTTGATGTCCCTGGTGTGGCTGCGCTTGATGTGCATGTTGACAAGGTGCCTACCTGTCTATTACCCACTACCTCCTCTATACTGGCTCCAGGAGACAGTGGGTCGTTGCTGGAGGGGACGGGGTGCACGGTCCTTGTGGCCGTGCTAGGCTCGAAGAGTGGTTCCATGCACTCAGTGTAGAGCGGACCACGGTCCAGCCACCGCCTTGTGTGTGCTTGATTTCTCAAATACAGCGTGCTTGTGTTTGCCTGTGAAAGAGCGTGGGCCAGCTTCGTTGCTGAAACGTGGCTACCGTCCACCTGCCTCCCGGTCTTATTCCTTCGGGTTTACACTGGATATGGGGTGTGTGGGTGGTGCAGCGCAAGCCACCCATGGTCCCTCTGTAAGCACATGCGTCCTGTGGCTGGCCACAGTGACCGGCAAATCCGAAACCGGATGCCGCCCAATATATATATATATATATATATATATATATATATATATATATATATATTGGCAATGACCTCATAGAAAACATAGTACCTGCATGTTATCACCTGACGCGTGTTCTGTACGTGTGACTTGATGGCGCGTTGGCAGTTTGTCGAATCAGCTGCCCCGGCTGAACCGCATGTGTCATCTTGTAACCATTCTTCGCACCTGGTGACAGTGGTCGGTCAATTCCATTTTTTAGCTGCTTGCATACACACAAGTGCAGAGTTGATCCTCTCTGTCCCTGTTCGTACGAGTGCCAGCTTTCCTTCTTACACCTGCAACTGGAGTTTATTCGTAAAACTTTTTGCAGACGTCTACCATACTACTTTCATTAACATCGGTGTGTTAGTTCTCTTGCTTCAGACCATAAATCTTAATAATGATGAAGTTACGGGTTTCAGAAGTCGTCCAGCAAGATTAAAAGTTCCGCACGACCGTTCAGCTTATCACCGAAGGGATGATCGATGTCTCTCGGAGTGTTCAGTTCAACCTGATTTGGTTAGGATGGTGTGTGGATGTGGGCCCCAGGATGGTCCACACCAGCGGTTCGGGACACTTTCAGACATGGCTCAGTCGCGCAGCCAATGGCGTTCTTGAATTCGGTTTCCACCCCGATTAGTTTTGCGCATTTCTGTCCTGGTTGCTCTTTTTACTCTATTTGCGTTTAATCTCGCTTTATTACCCCATTTCATTGACCCCCATCTTCATCGCTGTTGTATGCGTTATGCTGTGGCGAGTGACGACGGAAATGGAACAGTTATCGGAACGACGAAATCTTTTCCGTTTAGGTGACACGTAGTCTGCGCAGTCGTTACACTATCATCATTGGTGATGTACGCATGCAACCTACATCTCTGCTGACCTCGTGGTTCGTCATGGAACCTGGAAAAAAACGGTGGATGTTGCTTTCATTTCTGCTCCATCACATCGCTACCACTTCTGAGTCTTCTTTCTCCAAATGTTGTCCTAATTGTAAAAAATGACGTAGTTTGGGGTCTGGAACACATTGGTATTTGCGTCCATGTAGCCATGGCCCTCACACCGCATCCAACACATTATGAGAGCTGAAGTTAGCTGTGTCTAAATTCCGTAACCGGTTGAAAGTTAGATTGGTCTGTCACTTCTCTTAACCTGCTGCAAATCTGTGTAAGCTCATTCCGAATGCTACTTGTCACTAGCTCAAATGGTTCACGTATTCCCAATTATCATTTACTTATTCCCCACACTTGGCCCGTGACCGAAATGATCACACGCCTGAATTGTAATCCGGAGGTCGTGGGTTCGAGTCTACGTAGTGAACCGGACAACCGTGGAGTATCCTTAGCTCACGCTTGACGGCGAAGCGTCGCTATTGCGTACTGCTGATGTCTATTTTTCCGGTTGCTTCTCATTGCTTTTATCCCATCAGTGTGGTCCGCTAGTGGTAGAGCATCTGCGACTCTCAAGGGTCGACAAGAGTCGCTGACTAAGTATTTATCAATCACAAATTTATCCTAATGTTCGATTCCTTGGTCGCACCCATTTTTCCACGAAATTTCATTTGTCACAAAACAGGGTATTCTACGTGTGAACGTTGTGGAAGCTCGACGGCTGAAAATTGGTGACAAAAACATAGCAGGACGCGGTTCGTCGGATCCGTACTGCGTTGTACGAGGTAAGTTTTTCATCCATTTTGCCATAATTGTCAGCCAGTGATCCAGTCAGTGAATATTGCCTCAAATAACGACGGAACCACCAGATAAAAGTGATTGTACATGACAATTTTGAGGAGAGAAACAGTATTTCACGCAGGCGATGTGCAGCCACAAATTGGTGGGATCTAGCGCTTCTCATCTTTCAATGCCATGAAAACTAAGCGTTGCATAGGATAGGGTTGACCCTGAGACGCACGGCTTCCACTAGCAGTCATCATCATTAGTACGTTAGCTGAGGATGCGAAACACACCTCAGCTAATGTGCTGCAATATAAAAAGATAGACTAAAAAAACTACACTACAAATTACACAAATTACACCACAAAATGATGTTAAATATTATATTATGTGTTTCGTATAAGATCGGGATTGGAGGGGGAACCTAAAGGGAGGTAGATGGACAAAGGAACTCACAACACATATCAGCAAGTGTGTCCAACCAAATATGTTCATCGTCCTTAGGACCCCATCCAGGCAGTCGGGATGCACCAACCGACACCAGTTTCGTAGTGGGGGGTTTTCATTCCTCTCGACCAAGGCACCTCTTGGCCTCCGCTCCTCTTCTTCCAAACGCAGCCCCGGCGCGCAAACAATACACGTCGCGGGAGTCGGTGTGCTAGCATGCGCAACACGTGGCCCAGCCATCGGAGCCTGGTGCGTGATATAATGGTGCTGAGCGGTTCACTCGCTCTTCCTGCACCAAATACACGACGCCGAACACGCTCATTGATCACGCGGTGCTCCCACCAGACAGGAGCTAAGCTGCGAAGGTAGCGATGATCGAATATGACGAGACTCTTTATGTCTGTCGACCTGATGGGCCACGTTTCATAACCATATAGGAGAGTCAAACGGACGGCTGCGGCTGAGAGAGAGAGTAATGTCGCGTCTACGCCACAGGTGGCGGAGATTGGCAAAAGCACCTCGAGCTTTTGCTATACGGTTCGTAATCTCATCTTCGATCCCACGGGCGCTAATATAGCTGCTCAGGTGCTTGAATTCCTGAACGACTTCTAGCTGATCACCACAAAGCGTTAACGCAGGGGTGAGTCCCTGCCAATCTTGAAGAAGTACTTTGCAATTCGATGGAGCGAAGCATACCGCCAGTGCTAATTGGTCCAGTGCTGCTTGGCATCTTTGGAAGCCGTCACAGATTAGGGCAATATCGCCCGCATACTCCAGATCAAGCAGTCACTCACCAGGAAGTAGCTCCACACCTTTTAGGTCGTGTTCACCGAGTGCTGTTTTCATGATTTTGTCAACTGCGAGGTTAAATAGGAAAGATGATAGCGGGCAACCTTGTCTCACACCGCTGGTGATAATGAAGGGTGGCGACAGTTTGCCATAAACCCTCACTCTGCCTGAACTATGCGCGTACAGCGCTTTGATAATGTTTACGTATTTATCAGGCACACCTTTCCTGCGTAGACAGTCCCAAAGAGCACATCGATCGACTGTTTTGAAGGCACCTTTTATGTCAAGAAACACGACAACGGTGGGTCGCCAATAAACATGACGGTGCTCCAACAATTGACGCAAGGTGAAGATGCGGTCGATGCAGCCTCGACCTCGACGAAACTTTACTTGCTCTTCACGAATCTGGCTTCCACGAATGCCAGTCAGTCTGTGGAGAATGACAGACGCAAGCAATTTAGAGTCAATTGAGATCATACTGATCCCTCTATGATTGTCACATTCTGCACGGGAGCATCCCTTGAAAATCGGGACAATGACGGAGCGGCTCCAGTCTGTCGGGACTGTCTCCTGCTCCCAAAGTTTCACTAGCAACTCTTGTAAATGATCTACTAGAGCAGGTCCCCCGAATTTGAAGAGGGATGGGGGAATTCTATTTGCCCCTGCTGCCTTATGCAATTTCAACCGCTTAATCTCATGTTCGACTTCTGCGTGTGAGGGCGTATCCAAGGAGACGGCCCAGGGAGAAGGGCGCCTAATGCCCGAAAAAGAAAGTGATAACTCACATTGATTAAACTGTTCTGCCAAATGTTCGGCCGAATGCTCCAAGCGTTTTGACAAGTTGTGAATCGGCTGTCCACTCTCGTCGCGTATGGTCTCGCTAACACCAGGTCTCCTGCTGCCTGTTTCCCGTATCAGACGGAATAACTTACGATGACTACCAACAGCCGCGGTTGTTTCCATCTCTGAGGCACGGTGAGACCACCAGGCTTCGCGGTCTTTGTTTAAGCAAGCACGTAGTTTTGCCCTGAAATTTTGGCGGGCCTCATTGTATTCGCTTCCAGCCGCAATACGTCGGCGAGCATGCAAAAGTTCCAGAGGCTGCGTAGAGACCCAATGTCCGGTTAACAATTTGATTTGCCACCTGAAGACATGCCTGTTGATAGTAACGTTTGGCGAATATGCATCCATTGATCTTCGACGGTGTTCAGTGGGCGCTTACTCAGCCCGGATGTCAGCGTACTTTGATACACATTCAGAACACTTGGCTTCGCCAGCTGGCTGGTGTCAATCCGTTCACATCGACGGTACAAACGTCCACCGAAACGCGCCAGGAGGTCGACGCAAACAAGTGCGTGGTCAAAGTCCACGCTCGTGCTCCAAATCGAGCGACAATTTTGGACGCAGCCTCTCCAGCGCTAACTGATCGCGATATCAAATTGCCTCCAGTGCGGGTGCGAGGCTGGTGGGTGCCTAGTCACGCTTCTACGGGTGCTGTGTCGAAAGTTTGTGCTCGCGAGAAAGAGAAGAGCATCTTCACAAAGCTGTAGCAATCGTTCACCGTTATCATTACGGGAGCCTACACAATGTTGGCCGCCCAGATGAAGCTCATCAGAGAACAATTTTTCGACTTTGGCGTTTAGATCGCCAATCAACACCACGGTATCCGTTAAGTTGCTGATAAAAATCATCTTTCACAGAATCGGTGCTTCAGTTTTTAGGGGCGTAGGCCGCAATGACAAACAGGCACCGCTTGTTCCCGCTGGACTTCGTAGCATGGAACGAACCAGCTAATCTAACGACCCTCATCCGACTGTTGACCGGGATCCAATCGACCAGGACAGTTTCAACCCGGGGACTCAAAACAATGCCGACGCCAGTGTGACACGCATTTGAAGCTGCATCATCGTCAGACAGGCGCAGTGAGAATGCGCCGCCAGTGTCGCATGTGGGGAATCGTAGAGTAAACACGGAGCTTGAAGCTTGCAGGCGAGTTTCCGATAAACAGCAAATATCGATTGCTAGGGTCTCTAGTATGCGGGCAAGTTCTGCCTGTTGGCCACTCTGTAACAAACTGCGCACGTTGAGACATGCCAGTCTTAGCGAGACTCGAGAACTCCAAAGGGAAGCGGATGAACTGACGTTGTCCGCTTGATTTAACACGGACTTGTCGACTGGATTGGAGCGACGCCTTGCGACTGTGTGTGAGTTGCAACTATGAGACAAGTGACTATTGAAGCAAGGTGGGGGAGGGACAAAAATTGGGGATTGAAAATGGGGGGAAAAGTAGTGGGAGCGGGCCGATAAGGATGAAAAAGGCAAGAAGGGGATAAGAAGACGGGAAGGCGTAAGCAGTAGCATCCAAACTCCTATCCACTCTGCTGGATGCAGCAGATATGGCGCTGTTGAATATCCTCTGCGACAGCCAGAGCACCAAGGAATTGTTGGAATATAGGTTCATTGTATTGCGTGGGCAGAATATTGTCAGGTTGCCCAGGCCTGGACAGAATCAGGCTTCACAACCAAAGCCTTTGGTTCTGAAATCTTACCGCAAGGCAGTGGGCTTTTGGCACTGGACTACAGTGAGTCCGCTTTTGGATTAAGGAGCCACCCTCACTCCAACCCCCAACCTGGCGAACCAGGGGACTGAGTTTGTCTGGCTTCTAACTATTGACCAGTCTGGTATGAGTGGCTCTGAAAGTGCAAAAATGCACCACCCATCATAGCTCAATGGATCATTGAGGAGCACAAACCATCGCACCACGTTAAGGTCCAGTCTCCAGGCGATTGTGCACTAGCAATAGCTATGTACGACAGCATTTAGAAACTTGTATGGTGGATATTTGCATATCAATTCACTTTTCAGTTCAGGGATATATACATGAGTAGGATTTCTTGATGTTTTGTTGAGAGCTTCTTAGCAATAGATTAAAAATCAAGTAGTTCTCCATATGCTGGCTATTGAGGTCAAAGCACTTATAGCTCTCCCATGATTTCGCTGTTCTGTCTACTTCCCACCTCGCCCATCTCCGTCACTGCCAATTGACTAGGCCATTGAAGGACATCAGTGAACATTATGGTCCGTTCAGGGCAGTTTCCGATAGCTCGTTGCTAATTGCCTATAGCTATGGGCATTTATTATCACTAGTCACCTCGTTTAGCTAATGAAACTTAACAGCGGTGGTGCTAAAAGGGAGCACTTTTGGGCACATTAGTCAGTCGAAAATCGTTACAACTAAAAGATTGCGCTTAAGGACGCTTAATGCTTCTCATCTGTGTACGTCAGACCTAGTTTCGAACGGTTAACACATTCAACTTCGTTGACTTGTTCCATGTACAACAGCACGTATTTGCACATATGTTTTGATCAGTTTATTCGTGCTTTTTTGCTATTGCTTGTTCCAATTACTTTGGTGTTTTGCCTAACTAGACGCACATCTCACAACTCAAGTCAAGGTTGGCGGTAATCAGACACCCCAAGATAGTCATCCATCTAGCTTAAAAAGTTTTCAACTTATCTGATTGTTCCTTGACACCCAAAGCAGACTAATGAACGTCGGTGTTAACAAATGTATGGTTTCCCAAGATAGGGAGACGCTTTGAAGGCACCAGTGATTGGTGACAAGCAGTCACCTAAGGTTTCCAGCTCCCAAACGATCGTTTTGATTGTCTGCAAATTTACACATCCTATCATTGATCAACAAGTTACCATCTCACTGTCTGTCTGAAGGAGTAAGGTTGTGGAAAACCCCACGCGCCTCTCAGA